TCAGGTATGGCAGATAAAATGGCAGGGGAGGAAAAAGGTGATAGAAACACTGAAATTTCTCTCTTTGAACTCGTAGGGGAATATGTCCCCAAATAAATATTCCTTCCATGTGGCTAGATAAATGCATAGAGTTGTGTTTTTGTTTTTTTAAAAGTGCAAAGAACTTTAAGCTTTCCTATGGGAGATAGGAAATGTAGTTTGATTTCTTGCTATCACTTAATCTCTCTGAGTCTTAATTTCCCCATTTATGATTACAGTAGCTCTGGTATCTTCAGTTTTGACTTTGTTTCCATTCTTCTATTGATTGATTGATTGGTAAGTTGGGTTCAGTACAGATAGTAAGTTTTGTAATTTTTCAATATCAAACTAATAAGGCATATGTGATAAAACTACAAACTCTGTGGTAGTTCTGAAAATTGAGATGTGAGAAACTAGAAGGCTTACAAAAAACTGATTCCCGAAACCTAACAAAGACCTGACAACTCAAATACTTAATAAATAGTGAGTAAATGAATGAGTGAAATAAGTATTGGAAAGAAATTTTTCTAGGAAGACAATATAGGAGTGGTAAAGTGGGCGCATTAAATGCCAGTTCCACTCTGCCACTCTTCCCTGGGTAAATTTTAGCCTCTACAATGTCACCTCCTTGTGTGTCAGTACTTTAATACGTACAGAGCACCAACTATGTTCCAGGTGCTGTGCTAGGTGCCTACCCTCAACGTGTGTCAGGATATTGACAGGGAAAGACAACTGCAGGTTATTTAAATGAGAATTAGTAAAAATTAGTGAAGCAAAGATAGATAGAGTGGTTGTCTTGTTCAAACACAAAGAAACAGTTGAGCCCTAGCGTGGATGGTGAAAGAATTACAAGCTGTCTGGAATGGTTTAAGGAGTGAGTCAGCAAGTGACACTCAAGCTGAGGGCAGGCTGTGGAGGGCACCGTTACCTTGCTCAGGATATTTCACAAGAGGTGGGAAGCCACGGGAAGAACAGGGGCAGGATTTCATGTTAGACATCTGTAACTAAGGGGACTGAATGGTACCAATGGTTTTTGCCTAGCCCATGTCCCCTAGAAACAGAGCTTGAGGCAATGATTAAGTGCTGATACTTTATTGGGAGGTACAGTCCCAACCGCAGAGTGAGAGAGAGAAGACGTGAGGCAGGGAAGACTAGGAAGCAATGTAAGGTGATATGTTACTGGGCTGGCCACTGTTTCCCAGGTTTCAGAGACACCGCTGATTGCCCAGCAGGGGCACCTACTTGGCCACATGTGGACAGGCGTGTGGAGAATTTCACTTAAAATTGCACCAGAGGATTACTCCTGAGCACAGTTTTTAGATGAATAGGAGATATGCATAACCTCAACTTGCAAAAAAAACCTTGAAGTCATTAATACTCTCTTGTCCAATGTATTTGTATAAATAGACATTTTCTGCATCACACTGATTAAAGTCAAAATTATGAAACATTAAATATAGGACAGGACCTGAGACTATTTCTATGAGTACACTCAACATGGAAAATTTAGTTGTAGCAGAAAAGCATAATCCTCCCTATAAATTATAATGCTAATTTAAATATTATTGGTTTCAGAGTTTTAAAAATTCAATTTGTAAATTTTTCTTATTTTATTATCTTACTAGAGGCCCGGTGCATGAATTTTCATGCACTGGAGGGGGCTGACCCTCAGCCCGGCCTACCCCCTCTCACAGTCCAGAAGCCCTCAAAAGCAGGAGGTGACACCCCTATCACACCTCTGCTGCTGCTGCTGCCAGCAGTGCAAGCCTAGGCCAGCCCTGGTTACCTGAGCCTTGGCTGGCCCTGAGCAGATGGGCAGCCACCATCCAAGGCTTGCCTGCTCCTTGGGCTCGCCCTGGGTGACTGGGGGGGGGGGGGGGGAGGGGGGGGAGGGGACTGGGGGACTCCAGAGGCAGGTGCTTGGAGCACCGGACCCGCCTGGAGGTGGGCCCGGCCATGCTGTGTGCCTGCCATCCCAGCGGGGCTGAGGGGGCTGGGTGCCACCATCTTGTGGCTGTGGGCACCGCCCTCTTTGAGGGCGTGGCAATCAATTAGCATATTCCCTCTTTATTGGCTGTGGACGCCATCATCTTTGTGAGGGTGTGATGGTCAATTAGCATATTCCCTCTTTATTAGATAGGATAAGAGCAATAACTTACAGCTTTCTTCCCTAGTGTATATATATTTAAAGCATAAAAATTACATAATTCCATACTTTAAAACTGAGATAATTGTTCTGTCTAAAATGAATCCAGTTTAAGAACCACTGCAAACAGCACACACTTCCTCCTGGGGTGCATGATTACTTAATGACAGACTGGTCAAGAAAAAAGAAAAAGAAAAAAAAAAGCCTAGATCTTGGATTCCAGAGTCCCAAGTTCAGCTCTTGGCTCTGCTAATAACTGACTATGACTTCTCTGGCCCTCAGTTTTTCATTGGTAAATTCAGGAGATTTCAAGGACCACAAATCCTTATGTCTATTTGAACCAGGAACAGAATTAAGTGAAGTAGGCCAGTTAGAAACAATGACAGTATTGGGAACAGTAACTAAGTCAGAGGACATTTACTCTATCTTTAAAATTATTTAACTTCAAAACTTTAATACTACAAGGAAAAATCAACAAATCCCTAGACCAGATTTGGTCTGAAAGTTGCCAATTTGCAATGGCTGGGTCAGATTACCTTTAGAGCACCTTCCCCAACTCTAAAGTATTAAATGCAAAAACTCTACTATAAACAAGGAGTAGCCCAGCATCTATATGCCCAATGTGAAATGGGAATAGGCATAGAAGGAAAACCCCCAGAAAGCTTCAATTTGTTTTGTGTTTTATGAGTGATACAGTGTCTCACCAAAGAATAAGGCAATGACAGGACAGGGAAATGCATGATCAAAGTGAGTGAGAGACCCTTCTTGACACCAGCTTTATCCAACCAGAAGTACTATCTGAATTGTAATCTCTGTTCAATTCTTTAACCCCTAGAGTGCCAGGGAGCGCGATCATGCTCCTCTTGTCTTTCACCAAAAGTGCCAGGAGCGCTATTCAAAAATTTTTTTCTACTAGTATTTTATAATACAATCAGCAAACAATATATGTCAAAGATGAAAACAAATGTAGTAAAGGTTTCCTTAAGTTTTTGAATATGTAACTTCATTTACTTGCGATTCATAATTTTTTTCCTAAACTGCTGTAAAACCAGCAAAAATGCCTTGGCAATTTTAGTATAGTTCCTAGAATATTGGTTGGCACTCAAAGGGTTAATATCATACACCTAATCGGGTCCAAAGATTTATTCACATTCAACAAACTACAGGCGAGGCACTGTACCAGATACTGAAAAGATTTACAGAAAATGATATTGATGTTTTTCTTTTATTAGAGAATACATTTGATTGGCTGTTTTTTTCCATTGCATTTCTTTTACACTCAATTTGTTCCAGGTGTCATTGACCAGAACTTAATTGCAATTAAAATGAGAGTATTAGAGCCCTGACTGGGTAGCTCAGTTGGCTAGAGCATCATCCTGATACACCAAGGTTGTGAGTTTGATTCCTGGTCAGGCACATACAACAATCAACCAATGAATGCATAAATAAGTGGAACTACAAATTGATGTTTCTGTGTGTGTGTGTGTGTGTCTTTCTCTCTTCCTCCTTCTCTCTAAAGTCAATAATAAAAAAAATTTTGAATTAGAATATTATATGGCATTTGATATGTCCTTTCATCCTTTAGAGTTTAAAAGACAGCATGAGAGTATATTGGAATGGATGTTGGATTTACAGAAACAATGAGGTTATTTGACATATATTCTAACTTTAAGAAGCCATTTTTCAGACTTGCCACAGACTCTAATTTCTTTCTTTCTCCATAGTTACCATTTAGCACACACACATTTTTCTGTCACTGACCAGGGTGTTTCCTTTCTTTCATTTTTTTTTCCCATTTCTTGCATCCATATTCCTCTTCCTCCCAATTGTTTCTAGCCCCGATTATCTCTGCTGTCACTTTTGATAGGCAAAAAGAAAAGGTAAATGTCAAACTTTGGATTCAGTTCCTAAAATCAGTCATGCTTAAGAAGATGTTTGAGCACAACTATAAGCTTTGAGGCCCTATTCATAATAGTTTAATTTAAAAGCAAAACAGTAAACAATAATAAAGTGAAGAAAATGAGCAAAAATTTAATTTGTCCCTGATAGCTGAGCATCCTGTTTCTATGTTACCACATTGAGTCTTGTAATTGGCTATTTGCTGTTTTAAATGCCTTTTATTCATATCTGCCCCTATCTCTCCGTTTACCGGCCTTGTGGTTACCACAGTATCTTTCTCTTCCAAATCAATTGTCCTTTTTATGAAAAGAGCTTGCAAGGTGTTCAGCCCCGAGAGTGGCTTGTGGTCCATGGGCTGCCATGTTATAAAGCCTCCCAGGATAGTTCTGCTACGTAACACTTGATGTTTTCAGAGGATTTGTTTGCTTTTTATTTAGATTTGTAAGTGCTCTATGAATAAATTTTAAACTCTAAAGGATGAAAGGACATATGGTTTTAAAACTGTAAAACGTATGGCATCACCAGAGTGCATATTCTAATCATTGCTTTATACATTATATTTATAAATGAGGGGGAAAAACACCCATTGGTTTAAAGGTGATAGAAAAATTCAGACTCACGGTAGCAAGGCCCCACTGACCTAGGCCTTCCAGGCACTGGAAGTCCCCGCCGATTTATGAATATGGTGACAATGGGCAGTAAGTGAATCAGATAAGCACGCTTTTGTATCTTACAGGAAATCAGCAATTAGACACTAAGATAGTCAGGGGCTGAATTTTGCAAAGAAAGTCAGCTGACATGAGGGATGTATACTTCCAATGGTCCAAATACTATTTCTATTGATTTACATTTCACATTGCTATGAGCAGCCTGAACTTCCACTGTTTGATGTTTGGGGGGGAAAAGCCACTTGCTAATTCAAAACATTTGTCTCCAGGTGCCAGGTCGACCTGTCGGTCCTCAGTAGGGAACAGACGCACAAGTTGGAATTGCAGCTGGAAGAGGGTGAGGGCCACCTGGTGCTGCTGGTCACCCTGACAGCCTCGGCCACAGTCAGTATCTCTGACCTCTCTGTCAACTCCCTGGAGGACCAGAAAGAACGGGAGGAAATATTCAAAAGATATGTACGTATGTAACCCTCCCCCCTCGAGGCATGTGTGACCAGTGAGGTTATAAATAATTTACCTGGAGTGACGGAAGTACATCTGAAAAGCTGTCTGACAGATCAATCAGCAGGCGCAGAAAACTGGGCAAATGCAAATGCCACGCTTATCTTTGCAGACGCATTTGCACTCCCCACCGGTGTCGAGACACCGGGTCTTTTCTAGAGCCTCTTCCCGAGCAAGGCCTAGGTTCTGAGCTTCTCCTCAGTGATTCTGTCAGGCAGTACACGTACCATGCAGGGAACATCCTATAAAGGGAAGTTAAGTTTACACAATATTACTTTAAAATTAATTCATTGACTCTTTGTCATTGCGATCCGTATTTCTTTGTCTTCCCAAGTTCGAAATAGAGTCAGTGGCACTTACATTAATGAGTAGCTTGGTAACTAGAGGGTATTCTGAGAAATCATTCTTATTTTCAACTGTTTAGAAAAGCCTCACTTGTTCCTTTACTTTTTTAATTGAATATGAAGGATAATCAAAAGGAAGCCTCTTTACCTTTAAGTCAAGTGTAGAGTGAGGGGTTGGAATAGTGAGTCACTAAAATAAGTACCCGCTTCAATTTTCACCAAACCAAAATATTCACCACCAAAGCTGCCTCTTTTCCCGCATCCTCACACTTTCCATTTCCCACCATGTAGTTTTCTTGAATCAACAGAGAGGGGAGCTCTTACTCCACCATTCTCTCAATGGAAGCTCGGAAAGTGACTACCTCAGTACCCATGAAACGGGGAAAAGCTTTTCCCCTTAAAATGACAAAGCTCGTATTGTACGATGCTGCCAGGTGTTTAGAAGGCTCCTCTAGACACTCAGCTATGAAACCAAGCTCTGACTAACAAAGGACCGCTTAATATTTTTTTTAGATTTTTAAAATATTCCTATTTGCTGACTGACATCCTTTCAATAACTGAATTTAATAAAGATGTACCTTATCAGGCTGTGCAGATAACATGAAGTGCTGGTACTAATGCTCTACAATATTCTTCAAACAGATTAGCAGTCTGTGCACTTCAGCAAATTTATTCTGGCTATCTCCACTGAATCAGCTGTCTGCTAATGCTTGTACAACTCATCCTCCAATGGTGTCCTCATAAACAGTTTAATGAAGGTGACTTAGCAAGGCTAAATAGTATATATTTTTCAACTACCTAAGAGCCTAAGGTATTGTGAAGCATCTTCTAATACATAGTTGCAATTATGAAAATTGTTTCACATTTTGGTACCTACCAAAATATAGTCTGCTGTTAGCAGAAGAGACCCTCATGGATTAAAAAAATGTAAAGGAATTAATATATGTGTTGATATAAAATTATTCTAGGTATTATAATACTATATTTCTCAAATTAATATTTGATACTATGCCAAATTTTGGAATAATACTGCAGGCTAGGTAATTAGAAATAATCCAACTATTATTGATTTTTTTTTTTCATTTTGCTGGATGGGGTTCCTTAAATTGGTGATTTCCATTCAGAATGTGAATATTTGTTTCCACACCTTTTTTCAAATGTTATTATTTCAATAAAATGTAAAATAGTATGTGGATGTTCCAGCTAATTCTCAGATTATATTCTTCTCATTATATTAAAAAGTGAGCCATATTTAGACATACTTTTTTTTTAGCCCTAAATTTCAAGCATAGGCCTGTATCTGTCTCTACAGACGATACTTGCCAAAAGCCACTGTATGCAATAGCTCATGTGTTATAATTAGGCATAGCAATACAAGGGCAAAGCCCTATATTTTAAGGTTTCAATGTGTTTCCTTTTTATTATATAGATTATGAGATGGATGAATGAATGCTGTATCACATCTGAACTATCACTTGTTTTAGAGCAACATATAAAGGAGGTTATTTGGGAAATTATTGATATGTTTTCCTGTGAGAACATGTGCATTTTTGAAAATTTAGGTTAGATTTAAGAATTTGGTTGTGGTAAGGAAGTAAATGAATTGGCCCACTCTCCTATGAAAGAGCCTGCAAAGGCTTTCCATTGCTGTCAGTCAGCGGTTCATTGCGGAGCACTGAAGCCCCACAAATTAAACAGACATTACTGTGTGAGCCATTATTTGATCACCACATTCTGAAAAGATGGCTAATTCCATTTTTTTTCTTTTTTCCCCCCTTCTTTTGGGGGGAGGAAAGCAGGGAAGGTCAATAGGGGGCGAGTAGTAATGGGTGGTAGACCAAGAGCGATTGTCTGACCTTTTCAGAACGGGTATGCTGAACCCTTGCTCCCCCTTGTCACAGTTTAAAAACCAGAGGAGCTAGTTTAGAGAAGAAGTTGTTAGCATTCCATTTTTATTATGACATTTCACAGTCATCTGATTTAATGTCCCTTGACCAGATTGTCCACCGTGAGACGATGGGCTTGAAATGTTATTTAGAGCATTGATAAAAGGTGAGCGGTTCTAAGATGACAGCGAGTCATAAGGCTGGTGGTGTGACATTAATTTTCTCCATAACAGAGATGGAATAAGACGTCACGGTGACAAGCTGTCAATCAGCCCTGGCCCCTCAGAGCATCTCGATGCCATAGGATGGGGCATTGCCTCTCCCGTAATAGAGCTGAACTGAGATGCTCTCCCTGACAGCTGCTGCGGCCATAGAGAAAATATATTATACAGCCTTTCATTAAAAAAATAAAGAGGACTCCTCTCCAGAGCATTTCAATCTTTTCCCATCTATTGAGGGCTGAAAGGATTCACAGCAAATCATGCATTCCTCTACTATGGAAATTTCTGGCTTCAGGAGCCATCTAGGTTTTGAAGCCTTCTGAAATAACCATAAATAACAAGGCAGGAATACCTCTTGACGAAGCATTACTTAGAGTTGTAATTTTTTTTAACTGGTATATTTCGGTCTTGGGCTTTTTTGGAATTCTTATCATACTCAATATGTCACTAGCCTAAACAGCTGAAGTTCACAATAGATGACTGAGCGTCAGCTGATTCAAGGGAATGAAACCCACAAACAATAATTACCTCTCCAAAAGGGAAGCAGAACACCAGGGCCGGAGCCCCCGAAGCTGTGTCTGTACAGTGTGGTTAGCGGTACGAAGCGATTCTCAGACACGAGGACTGATGTTTGTTTCAGTCACAGTGGAGCTTGTTTCAAATGGCTTAAGAACAGGAACCTTTTCGGAAAATTCTTCCCCACCGTTAGGACAGGAGGCTGACCTGGCTTACAGCACTCAGTGAGCTCCGAGATAAGAAGCTTCCCGAACCTGATCGTGACCGCATTAGGGAGACGACATGCCTACAAACCTCTGGATTCTAATACTGCTGCCCACAGTTCCCACTTCAGAGCCTTGTTTACAGTAATTTAAATGGGGAGAGAAATACCTTTTTATTGAATACCTATTACCCGGTAGCTTAAACTGTTTGGGAGATAAACAGCCCTTTAAAAACAATAAAAGATTAAGAGCTAATCCTTGGGCTAAACACCTTTTTTTTAAAAGTTAGGTTATGAGATTGCACATATATCTGCATTTCCTGCTCTTGATGTGAGGAAGTCATAGCTCCAGTGTAAACAGTGACTGGTCATATGGGACTGATAAAGTTAATATCGCCGTAAGCTTCGCTTCTCAGTATTCTCACATGCTTAATACAGGATGCAAATGTTCTTTGGTAACATTTGAATAGCTAAGTTTAATACAAAAGTATGCTATGTTCCCTGGTCATAAAGCATTTTAAAGATTATGATAAATACTTTGATTTACTGAGTAGAAATGCTGATCTTGGCATAAGAAAAATCCTATAATTTGTAAATAAACAAATGCATATAAAGTTCTATAGGTTTATTTTACTCTTTAAGTATTTGTGCCCATTAATTAGAGCTTTGAATTATTGTATTAGTATCCCTATTTTAATTCCTTCTAGTACTATACTTATTAAAACACTGCCATTATTAATTTATGAAATTAAATAGGTTTTATCATCTGGGTCTGATTCTATCACAATTTCTCTACTTCTACTTCCGTACATACTACATTCATAAATAAAACTGCAAATTTAAGAAAAATTACTTGTCACTTTTTAGCTCATTTTTAGTGGTCAATTTTATTTATTTATTTCTATAAATGTGTGATTTAAATTGATTTCAGAGTGAGAGGAAGGGGGAGGGAAAGAGAGAAACATCAGCGCTTGCCTTGGGTACCCATAGCAAACCCCAGATACATGCCCTGACAGGGAATGGGATCACTGGCAATCCTTCGGTGCGCAGGACGATACTCAACCCACAGAGCCACATGGTCAGGTCCAGTTTGATTTATTTTTGAGGATTTTATGTCTTCTACCTAAAAGGTTTATAGAATACCTCACCAAGTCTTTTAAATTAAATATAGAAAAGTCTTTCAATCATTTAACCTCCATTTAGCACATGCAATTTCCAATGCTCATTAAGGAGAAAATAGTAGAAAATATAATTAATTTAATGTTGACTTTTTTACTCCCAAAGTCTGAAGTAGTATATAACCAACAATTTAAGATTCAGTATTAAGAAGCGTGAGTCTCCAAACCATCATACTCATGAGAAGCTTTGGTAAAGGAGATCAAAGGAAAAAAAGCAGTCATATCCTATTTTATAAGTTATTGTTCACTAACTACCAATAATTATTTATGGGGAAGAAATGTTGTGGGGTTTAAATGTGTGTGTATGTGTGTGCGTGTGTGTGTATGCACACATTCATAATGGTGGAAGGGTAGTCTGTATTGAAGAAACACCAATATCCTTTGAATCACCTAAGCAGCATCCTGAAATCAACCATAAAACTTACTGTTTTCTCAGAACACTCTTTGAGACTGTTTAGGACCTTTCTTTTCTAATACTGATGCTGGGGTCTTTCAGAGCCCATTGCGGATATTTCACAACCTGAAAGATGTGGGATTTCTCCAGGTGAAAGTAATCAGAGCAGAAGGATTAATGGCTGCTGATGTGACAGGTAAGAAATGATGCAATTGCCCTGTTGTGTGTACATATAAATATAGGTGATACAGACTTAGATGTAGATATAAATAGAAGTCAAGCACCATGCAAGGTCTGTGGCATTTAATGACTGAACTCTTCGGTTTACCTGGTTGGGTTATCAAAGTAGATAATATAAAGTTTCAGTGTTGAACTTACAAAGATTTGCCAGCCACCAATTTTTATATTGCCAGTACATTTTAAAATAAGGGTAATATGTTAAAATACAAATAATAAAAAATAAAATAACTTTTGAATTGTTGTCTTCTCCAAAGTTCAGTCAGCATAGGGGGGATTTTTCTTCCAGCTTTTGTCATTTTGGAGTAATGCTGTATCTTCTCTCAGGGGGTATCACCTAAGATGATACCATAGCATCAACACAAACATGCATAATATTCATTGCATAACTCATTGAAAAGTTTAGATGCATAATACTCAATTACTTGGTATGAACTCTTGGTATTTGGGTTGCTGATCAAATTTCTTAGTTGCCCAAATTCCTTAGCACATTCCAGAGATAATTTTGGATCTAAGCTAAGCATCCACATTGTTCTACATATTTTAAAACAAGAAATATGTCTGTGAAAGTGCCAAAATTAGTCTTCTCTCTTAAAGCTTTCTGATTTGGGTATTGCTGTTTCTATAACATATTAATTGGCTAATGGTAATTATTTTATCATATTCCAGAATTAAATCATTATTTTGAATTTGCAAGTATGTGATCATTCATTAATTGTTTAATTTCACAGGATTCTGGGATGTTTACTAGTATACAATTTCTTAAATTGTCCATCTCAAAACAGATAATAAATAGGACTGATCTAACCAATTTTTATGCAAATTAAACTGTTTTTGAAAGATACACTTATTTGTGGAAATATGCTTACCATTATATGTTCAGCCAGTTGACCCTAAAATGGTAGCTGACTCATTTGAAGGGGAGAAATGACCCTTCTACTATCTAAAGGCTTGTAAATCCATTACATGATGAGTGGAACCCTTCTTTAATTCATCAAATCAAAACCTAATTAAAAGATCACATGCCTTAAAACTAAAATAGCAGATTTCTGCTCAAAAACAGCAATATTTAAATAATTTCATATTTGCATATTATCAAGAGACTATTTAATGTGTGATAAAAATTAAAATGTTGAGAGTTTACAGTTTCTTTAAAGAGGTAATTGCCAACTTATTTGTAGGCCAGAAGATAATAACAGTTATCAAATATTCTTTCAAAATAGGCCTACCTGAAAATAGCAGGAGAGAAGGTAGTTTGTCATCTTTCTGGATTTATGCTGACTTGGCTCCTGGTACTAAATAATTAGTGACTTCTAAGTTTATTCATTTTCTTTTTTTATCTCTGATGTAGTTGTAATCAAATTAATCTGGACATGATGATTTCTTTTTTATTATTACTATGCTGCATATATTATTGGAGCTAATAGTCAACGATAGATAGATGATTGGCTAACTACTCGTTTTCTGTCACTTTGGACATTAACTTGATGACTGGCACAGGAACACAGTATTGCTTTTACCCCAGGGAGGTTTCGCCTAGCCTGCGATTCCCAGGTAGATTCAGGAATTCAGGGCAGTGACATTCTCTCTTGGGAGACACCTTCACTTTCCTTCAGGATTTTCTGTAGGGGAGGGGAGCACCCAGTGTTTGGCTGAAAACGCCTGAAGATAGAGAGAAAAGCCTAGATAATCAGTATCTCAGAGGGCACCTAAGTGATCTGAACTATTACTGAACATTTATAGCGGGCGCAATAATTTGTTATAGAAAAATTCCAGTCCCATTTACTTTACACGCTCAGCTACCTGCCCATTGCACAGGTTGCATGCAATTATGTAGCTTGTTTTTCCTGGAGAGAAGCTATAATTACTTTCAAAACTCATGAATATGCACACTATGTTAACCCTGTTGGCCCATATGCTACTATGAAGATTAAAGTACAGTTTTTCAATGCTGAGAAAAATAGATATATTTCTTTCCAATGTTTATAATGTCCTAATATGTAAATGAATGTGAATAACAATAGCCTTCTTCCTAGAAATTCAGTGAGACATAATTTTTATCTGATAAAATAAACGTTAATTTGGGGAGTGCTAAATAACAGATTCTTCATTTTTCCCCCGCCAGTTTTAGGGATATAAATCTAATGATTTCTCATTCCACACTGACCTTATAATTTAATGTGCTCTGAATTGAACAAGAGAGATGTTGAACTATTCAGGGGCAAGAGGATAATTCAGTCTTTGACCTTGCTCACTCTTGGACCTTTTGTGGTCTTTATGACATTTGTGATGGTGGCAGAAACTGAGGAGTATATATTTACATCGGAAATATCTGAATACAATACCAATTTTTAAAATAATCCTTACTTCTGAAAAGGATAAAGATTTATATACTGATCCTTCCTGGTCTTTATCATTAAGGTTGGGGCACAAATAAGCTTCTTATATACTTCATCTCTTACTTGTTCAAAGAAGTACTTAAAAAATGTGTTGTATATCTTCATGGATAATCATAGTCAGGCTCTACAAGATATTCAGCAACACTTTTTTTAAAAAAGGGAGTTGAGTCAATGGTGCTGTCTTCAAATCCGCAAATTAGCATCCATTTAGGAGTATTGTGGATAGAGAGGGGAGATTTAAAATCACTGATAACTCTCTGTGCTAAGTGAAGAGTATTTTCTGATATAAATGAAGCTATTACTATTAGATGCCCGGTTGGCTTCAGAACTTTTTTTTCAATGGACAAGTCGAACAAGACACACTTATATTTGACCAACTTTGCTGTATTTTAAAAATATTTTTAATGATCCAAAAATAAAGTTAAACTTCCATAATTTAAACAATAATTTTAAATTACAGTATTTCATCATTTAACATGAACACAGGAAAAAGAGAGGCTATAATCTTTTAAGTAGCCATCAATCTTACCGCACTTCCAAAGAATTTTTCCCTTTCAAAATGTAAAATTTTTCTTTTGTTACAACACATTCATTGAGAAACATTGTGATACTGTATTAACTCTGTGTGAATAAAGAGCAATTGAGACTCTTTGAATGAGTGCGCATAAAGCACAAATTACTTTTTAATGAAGCCCTCAATTCTTTCCCTTTCCACAGAAAGCCTATAGCCTTGTTCAGCTGAGCACCACTACAGTAGGTCACTTCAGTTAAGCCCCCAATAAACTGTTGATCGTTGAGGGTAGTTTTTTCTTCAGTCTCAATAGCCTAGTGTTGGACAGTGCACTTCAAATCATTAAGGTTAATACAGATTTTAAAAAGAGATTAACTCTGGTGGTTAAGGCCTCAATTTACAACTCCCACACATACACATGCATTGAGCAAGGCACAAGAGTGGATTGAAATTTCAGTCAAATTGTGGGCTGCCTTTCACAGCCTGAGAAAGTGGCACTCTGGTTTTCAAAGTTGGTCAGCTAAACTCTTTGGGAGGGAAAAAGTTTGATTAACTGAAAAATACTGTGCAGTACAACTTACCTCTCAGGCAACCAGTGAAAAGGTCAGTGTCTCTCTGTGCCATCAAAGCAAAACCTAGAGACTGCCTGGCCCTGTGTTCACTGGGGAAGATTCTCTCTCCCAATAAATCAAGTGTCCTTAAAACTGAATAGATTGTGAGAGGAGAGAGACCAATGCGGGGGGGGGGGGGGAGCTATTTATTCATTTATTTATTGTTGGTGGAAAACAGTTCATGGTGGAATTTGCCTTTTCTAGCTTCTAATTATTCTTTTCTTTGGACGGGTCCTAATTTCTGCTTTCAGCAGGACATATAAAGTCTTCTATATTGAGTGAGGCTTTCTTTGCAGAATATTTAGACCTGGCCGATTAGTTCGTTCTTTTAAGTTCTAAGAGAAAAGAATTCTTTCCTCAGCCCCTCCCCTGAGCTCCCAAGGAAGAGGTCACAGTGTCCCCAGGGATACCAGCCACTCAGTTTCAGAAACAGTGATATGGGAGCACTGTGAAACCCTTTCAAAAGATGCCCTACCTTTTCACTCTGTTAAAAGGTGCTCTACTCTAAAGCTTCTGCACCCAGGTGAATTGGTATATCAAATGAATGAGCCACCTCATTCAGGAAATGAGAGAGAGAGAGAGAGAGAGAGAGAGAGAGAGAGAGAGAGAGAGAGAGAGAGGATTTTACAGTTAACATAATCTGTCACTGAAATGGTCCGTTTAAATGAGCATATCTTTTTCTAAAGCAAGGCTCTGAATATAGACTGTGTTCAGCTCACCAGTCCCATAGTCTGGAAACCTAGTAGTTATTAAGCAAGATGTTTACTACCCCTTTATTTGCACAGACTTCTCTCATGTTTTTTTTTCTTTAGGAAAACCATCTTCATTGTTGGAAAATATTTAAGTAGCAAAACAGCAGAAAAAGACATGCTACAGTTTCCACCCCCCTTCCCCCCAGCTTCCATGAGAGTCTTATTATCTTAAGAAATAACAGTTAGCAGCTCAGATTCATTAGCAGAGCTAAATTTAAGCCCCAGTTGACAGGCTGCCTAGAAAACATTTTGTTTTGCTGTCTGTGGGCTTTAATTAAGATGTGTTCAATTTCAGTCCTCTCAGTCTAGCCCTCCCCCCTCCCCAACTTGCTGTGTCACAGACGGGCGATCAGACACTTTTAGATGGTCCGGCCCATGACTTTGACCTTCTGCGCAGTCCAGCGTTCCCTGGGGAACCGTTCAACTCATGAGGTCTGATTTCACACTTCCAGGATGCCTCAGCTCTCTTAACAATGACAGGGAGACAAAGCCCTTTAGAGCAGGCCGCATGGGGACTTGTTTAAATTGGAAACCAGAGAGGAGTCAAGGAACAAGGTTATGGGCTACAGAATAGTGCTTTTAATAAAGAGCTCACAGCTCTGGCTCAGCTCAAAGAGGTCTACCTCTGTACAATTAATTGAGCCATTTATCTGGAGCATCTTAGGCCTCTACTTTCTCACAGAACT